TACCGTTTCTCGGGTTCTGGATTTGAGCTGATGTGTTTGTGTTTTTGTAGTTGGCAAGTGGTAAAGACTTGAAGCATATGTTCAGAGGCATGAGGAGTAAAACAGTGCCCGGATTGTCTTCTCAATCTAGAATCGTGAGATGTCCAAAGTGTCAGAAGCTTCTCCAAGAACCGTTAGATGCAACTTCCTACAAATGCGGTGGATGCGACTCGATTCTTCATGGTATGATTAGCTTTCTTAAGTTCCCTTACTCATGTTAACTAGTAACGAAGCTTGTGCTTAGTGTTTTTCTGTTGGTTGTGTTATTTCTTTGAATACAGCAAACCGTTGGGCACTGGAAGGCAACGATAAGACTATTCCCGAGGCTCTCCTTTCTTCTGAAAACCGCAGTTTCAAAACCAAGGATGAATCTGCAGAAGGTGGTAGTAAAACTCCAATGAGGAATACTCACCGAGAGTACAATTCAAGGGCATCGGCTTCTGTTGAAAGAAGTCGTTCAGAAACTGTCTACAAGCATGAGACATCCGATATTCGCAGAGAATGGATGAGAAGGGCTGATGAGTTCAGTGTGACTGAGGATTCTGATGCGTTTGCTTCAGCAAGAAGCTCTCCTTATTATAAGTCACATAGCAATGCCTCGGAGTGGACACAACATGAGGGGAGATACAAAGATCAGCCTCGGGTTCCTTTCTATCCAGCAAGTCCTTCCCCTTCTTCTGCATATGAATATGGCTACAATAGTCCTTTTCATGGTTCTCAAGTTTCTGCATCCGAGCAGTCTTATTATCATTATCAACCAAACCAATTCAAGCAATACGGAAGAGAAAGAGAAGGCTGGTTTCAAGAGCCTTCTGTTGCTTCACCGGCTCATTTTCCGGGAGAGACATCTGACGGAAAGTACTATCGTTGGCCTGCTCAGTCTCAGCTCCACGACCTTCAGTATCATAATCTCTATGAATCCAATAGCTCTGCAGCCCCACCTCGCTCTGTGTACTCTGAGCTTAGCTATCAAACAGCTGCAGTGCCACATCGCTCCAAGAGTGATACAAGCAGTGAGAAGAGCTCTATTAGTGACAGAAAAAGGTATGTCAGGGCGAGGAAACCAGTGGCGAAGCGTCATATTCTTCCTTCAGCGGGAGGTGCGCCTTTTGCAACTTGTTCCTATTGCTTGGAACTTCTACAGCTTCCTCAGGTGTCTCCCCACGGAAAAGATAAGAGATATCAAGTGAGATGTGGCAGTTGTTCCGGTGTATTTAAGTTCTCTGCTCGAGAGGAAGCAGATATTGTTCTCGATTCACCTAGCTTTGTGGATTCCAGCACGGGTTTTGCTAATGACACTAATCATCAGGGTTCAGATTCAGAAGGCCATGAAGAGATTTATCCAGATGAAAGTCATCTGTCGTGTTCAGACAATGGCTCTGGAGACGCAATCTGCAAAAGCACTGATGATGTTATCTTGAGTCGGAATCTGAAAACATTTGAGGATAGGCGGAATATATCAAATGAATTTTTTTATTCAAAAGTAGAGGCATTGCAGCCTCAGCTAAAACCTTTGGTGAACCAAATGTCAAGGGAGCAACAACCTGCATCAGCTGAGACTATTGGAGAGACTTCAAGGTTTCATCTAGAGCAATATCAGGAAGCTCACACAGAGAAGTTAACTACGATAGATAAAAAGATTAGAATTGAGTACCATTTAGAGGAGTCTGGATATCAGAAGAACGAAACTCTTGATCCAGAAGAGATGGTTGAAGATGATGAGTCGTTGGAGGTTCCAGTATACAAGAACGAAAGGATGAGTGAATCAAGTGAAGAAGCTGAGATAGTTGCAGAGAGGCCGGTATCTCATAGTGTGGAACCTATAAACATGAACGAATACGTCAGTGAAACACGCGTACACGCTGAGAACGCCAGAGACACTCACAAGTTTGATGGGGAGGAGACTCATGAAAATGAAGAATATGGAGGTGAAAAAACATGGGGAGAGATCATAGGAGACAAACCGGGGTTACATTTGGAGAAAACTCAATACTGTGGTTCTACAAGTGATAGCAGCTCCAGCAATGGTGAAACATTTGAGGATACAGAAGTCAAGGAAGATATGAAGCACATGTCAAACACATTTTCAGATGCAATGTCAGCTACACCAGAGTCTCCCCTGAAATCTTTGGTAAACGAGAGCCAGAGCTTTACAGGACATCCCAACCAATCAGGCGAGGCTACAGTCACAATATCCAGGATCCATGAGGAACAGTCCAAGCATGAGGATGAGAACAGTAGCCAAGAATTGGATAAGACCATTAGTGACAGAGCCAGGTATGAGTTAGAGGAGGTTGGATATGAGACAAATGTTGAGCCAGGCAAAGTGGGGGGAGATGGATCTGTTGTTTCTCTCAGGAAAACGACTGAAACATGCAAAATAATCGTAGAAGACGAAACAGGTGAAGAGAGTTCGGTATTGCATCCAATGGATTCTCAAAAAGAGACCGCAGCAGATTCCTATGGAACACTAGAACCAGTTTATCTAGAAGGAAGCGGGTATGCAGGTGAAAGATTGTGGTCACAGACAATGGAAGATAGAGCAGGGCTGCATCTGGAGGAATATGAAAGCAACTATGAGAATTACAGCAAACCACTTGAATGCACTTCAGAAAGAGCTCCAATACTTTCTATGAATGAGTATGAGATAGGGACAATACTTGAACCAGACGAGGATGCTGATAGAAGATCAGAATCCAGCTCAAGGGGTTCCTTCAATGACCATGGCAGTTCAGAAGAGAGTGCTGTGTTGCATGAGTCTCAAGATGCTAAAACAGAGCAGTCACAGTATGAATATGAGAACTCAGGCGAAAGACAAAAGTTGAGTAACACCGTTTTTGACATAGCAAGGTCTGAGTTGCATGAGTGTAGATACGAGACAAATGAAAAGCTTGAGCCAGGCAAGATAGTCGGAGTAGGATTTGTTGTTTCTCTGGAGAACGCGAGTGAAACAATCATAGGCAGGACTGACGAAGAGAGGACATTATCTCATCAGATGGAGCCACAAAATGAGAATGTGGCAAATTCCTACGGAACAGTAGAACCAGTTTATCTGGAAAGAAGCAAATATGCAAGTGAAAGAACATCGGGAGAGACAATGGGAGACGAAGCCGGGTTGCAGTTGGAGGAATATCAAAGCAATCCATTTGAATGGACTTCGCAAAGAGCTCCAACATTTCGTTTGCATGAGTACGAGCTAGAGACAATGCCTGAACCAGACGAGGATGTTGATGGAAGATCAATATCCCGTTCAAGGGATTCCTTCAATGACCATGAAAGTTTAAAAGACAGAGCTGTATCTCATGAGGAGGAGCCCTGGCTGCTGGATGAGAACAAAACCGAAGCGCTAAAAGTTTGTGAAATGGTGGAAGATGGACCACAGCTTCACGTGGAGAAGTGCGAAAATGAATCAATGAAATCGGAAGAGATATTTGAATGGACTTCAGAAAGAGCTTTAACATTTCGTCTGCATGAGTATGAGCCAGGGACGATGCTTGAACAGGATGAAGATGCTGATGGAAGATCAGAAGCTAGCTCAAGGGGCTCCTTCAACGACCATGGAAGTTCAAAAGAAAGACCGATGACTCATGAAGAGGAGCTTCGAATGGTGGATCATTATGAAAGCAAAGCCGTAAAAGTAGGCCTAACGGTGGAAGATGGACATCCACTGCACTTGGAGAATGGCGAAAATGCAACAATGGAGTTGGACGAGGTACTTGAACCAAGGGATGATAGATTCAGGCTCTGTCCCGATGACACACTTGAGCAAGAGAGGATGATGTTTCATTTAGAGATGTCTCAAGATAAGCAAGAGAATCCAAGGCAGACCTTTAAACAAGATGACAGTGAAGAAGATATACCAGCATCTGGTTCAACGGTATCTTCAGAGGACCAGGAATCTCCAAGTAAAATGGCAGAAGTAGATAGTGAATCTAAAGAGGAAACATTGGGAGACCATTTAAAGCACTTGCCGAAAGAGAATGAGAAGTCAGGACTAACCTCTGAACCATATCCTCGTAACTACAGCGCAACGGAGCCTTCTGAAATCGTGGGTTTGCGGCATGCGTTATATCAAACGCAAAGTTCACCTCTACGGTCACCTCTCACTTCACCAATTCATACTCCCATTGGTTCTCCACTGCATTACATGATGAGTTCACAAATACGTTCTCCAATGCATTCCCACATAGTTTCACCGCTGCGTTCTCCCATCCACGCATCTGGATCACTCTCTGATGTATTGTTCTTCGGCAAGAAAAGTTAATGACAAGAAAAAAAAGATACGCATTCCTCCAAGCTTGCTTAGTCTCTTTCCCCATACTTCCAAAACTTTACCTGCAATGCCAAACAGTGTGTGTGTATGTACATTGTTTCATTTTTGTTTGCGAGTAATAATGAATTACATGTATGATTTTTTTACAGGTGATAAATCTGTTCTTCTTTTACAGAAGCTCTGCTGGTCATTTACTTAAACATGATACAGGTTGCATCTAAAGAAAGTAGAGACAGAGCTATATTCCCAATGAGAGAAGAATCAAGTAAACTTTTTTTGTTTATGAAATCTTGAATAGTCCTACGTTTGATCCGCATGCTCTTCTAAAATTTAGCTGAAAACAATCCTAATGATTTCTCTCCTAAAGAGACGAATAAGAACCTTTCATGGGTTTATACTACACTATTAGCTTACACTGAGAAAAAAATGTAAAGTTTCAATCTTTAATCAGTAAATACACTAAAAACTAATCACAGATTGAAAAAAAAAAACTAAAGTCCAAAGAAAACTCTGTAAATTAAGAAGACCAAACAATAGAGTGAAACGAAAACTCAAAAAAGGTGTTTTTAATACCTCTAAGAGTGACACAGAAAAGGGAAAATCTGCAGAGAATCGAGATTAGAGTTTTGCAATTTGTTCCTTTTGAGTGGAGGAACCAGATCATTTCCAAGGAGAAGACGAGGACAAAATCCGGTATTTCTGTTTGTTCCAGGGAGTATAATTTTGCTATTTTTATACGAACAAATGATTCTTCGAGCATCTTGTTTGTGTAACGTTCCAAGATCTTGACGATTCGTTTGCTCTCTCTCGCACTCTCCAGCTTCAGAGAGGAAATAAAGAAAGAAAACACATCACTGCAGTAAGTTGTTTTCGCACTTCATGCCGTTCCACATTTACACACTAGCACAACGTGCCGTTTAATTGTTTATTAGATTCGAACCCTCTTTCTCTGCCAAGAACAGTCAAGTAAAAGTATATTTTTAAAAATCTCATATTTTCTCAAAGACTATGAAAAAAAAATCAAAACAAAAGTGGTTAAATATTCATATCTGCGGTCTTTTTTCACCGGATTTCGATTCCATATACTTGTATTACCATATTGTGTTGTAAGGTTTAATCAGCTATGAATCGGGCATTGTCGACCCAAATGACGTAAAATAAATTAAAAGTCATGCTTCGAGTTGATGATAGATCAAATTCATTTTCGTTTTTTGTTTGCGAAGTCCGCAAACATGA